AAAAATAAGAAAGGAAGCTAGCTTCGGCAAGCCGAAGCTGATATACCCTTGCAGATCCCAAATACGTCGAACAAAATGCATAAAGCCTAACAACATCGAAGCTATGACGATTTTTCTATTCATTTTCCATATTTTCGACTACAGATCATATGGGAGCTATATGATATAGTTGTCCGATTTTGATCAAATTTAATTCGTAATTTAAGAGTCGTAAGAAAACTCTATATTTTAAAAATCATACTTGTCTGATGAAAAACCACGATGTTATAATTTTACTTCCGTTATTTCTATATAGATTTTTCGATCTTTCTTATGGCAGCTATTAGATATAGTTGTCCGGTTTTTATGAAATTTTTTTCTCAGTTGTTTAAAAACTTGATATTCTAAAAATCATGTTCGTACGATAAAAAACAACGATGCTATCAATTTATTTCCATTAATTCTATATATATTTTCGATCTCTCTCCTATGGCAGCTATATGATAGAGTTATCCGATTTTGATCAAATTTACACCGAAATTTAGTAGTAGTTAGAAAACGCCATCTTGAAGAATTCAAGTCGATCTGATGAAAAACAACGGAGTGAGATTTTTTTTTCAATCTCTCGTAGGGGAGCTATCCGATATAGTCGGCCGATCCGGCTCGTTCCGACTTATATACTGCGTGCAATAACTACACAACTTTTGGGAAATTTTCAGCAAGATAGCTTCAAAACTGAGAGACTAGTTTGGGCAGAAACGGACGTATTTCGATTCAGAAGGTGATGCTGATCAAGAATATATATACTTTATGGGGTCTGATGTTTCTCCTTCACTGCGCTGCAAACTTCTGGCCAAAATTATAATACCCATTGCTCTGCAAGGGTATAAATATATGTTATAACTTATAAGTGTTATATCCCTAAACTATTTTCAAGCTAATAATTCAGTCGTGAAAAGCGTAGTTTGTATTAGGTTAAGTCTACGTCTGGGAGAAGAAAATAAATAATCGAGAAAAGGTAACAGTGCGTATATATAATATTAAGCTTTGAACTTTCTTTTTGCTTTGCCTTCAAGTTACAAAAGATACATATATGTATAAAGGGACTAAGTTACACCTTTAACATTCTCACATAAATGATTAATCACGTCGACCCCTATTTAAATTTATTTTTAATCTTTAGATCCAAAATCTCTGTAGTAGTAGCCGCTAACATAAGCGAGGGCACGGATGACAGTAACACACCGAAATTAGCTCCCGACAAGCCGATCTTACCAGAAAAGTGTGGATCCCCGGAACCGAGTAGAGTGCGGGAGCACTGCGACCACCTGGATGCATCGGTGGTGAATACGAAACAGAGGAGATCCCGGACCAACTTCACACTGGATCAGCTAAACGAACTGGAGCGACTCTTCGAGGAAACGCACTATCCCGATGCCTTTATGCGCGAGGAATTGAGTCAGAGGTTGGGACTCAGCGAGGCCAGAGTGCAGGTAATTATTTCCCCGGAGCGGCCATAAATATTCCCCAAATTTGCAACTTGACAATGAAACTGTCCGAAGACGCCCCTTGGACACAGATACGAGCACAAATTGGTTTTCAATGGATATTCATTACACTTGCACTAATGACAACAACAGACAATGTCGCCCCAAAAAAATTCCCTTTGCGAATGTGAAAGCATTGTCTTTGATTTTCCAACCACCGCCGGCTGTGTGCAAGATATACAGAATATATATGGGGTGTTAAGTGGTTTACGCCACCCTTTGCCGTCTAGGACTCAAGTAGAAAATTATTTGAGCATCAGGGGGCCGGTTAAAGATTAAATGCTCAATCAGAATCAGGGTGCCGGGAATAGACACTATGTGGTCATGAAATATGTAGATACGAGTTACCAGCAGGAGTGCCACTTTTTTTATGGCCTGTAATAAATTGTTTTTCCTTGCGCAACATTTGGCCTCTAAAATCCCCTAAGAAGTTGTAATTAATGAGAAGTTAATAGTGATAATTTAATGTGTTACAAGAATAAATGACGAAATAATAAGGTGAGTGGTTTCGAGTATATTTCACTTTTATTTTGTCAAAATATATGTATATGCGGACCAGTGTAAGCCATATTTGTCTCTTTTCCATACAGTTTTTTTTCGACATTGTCACATTCGAAAAATCATAAAAAAAAAATTATTTTTGCAGTTACTTTTATTTTTGTTTTAAGACTGAAATTAAAATACCCTTTTGCTCTGCAAGAGTATAAAACAAAATTCATCCAACCCTCGTATTGCTACCCTATATATTACACTATCCGAATCAAACTTCTAGACATTTCACTTTTAAATTTTTGAATCAAGCATGCGACAATGTTCCAGTATACAAATCAGTATATACCTACATACATAAGATATTAATCTTGCGAGCTCGTTTGCTCATGCTGCAATGCGTGAGTATGTGTACTTATGTACATATATTTTGTACAGTATAAATCGTGTTGCGAATAAATAATAAATTTAGTGTCATAGTCAACAGCGATCTACCAAGATGTGGGTAATATATTTATTATTTTTACTCTCTTCAACAAGCGCACTTAGAGTGAAACTCATCGACGAAGACAAAATCAGAAACGTTGATATTGAGTGCGATAATAATGTGAAAGTCAATATAGTTCGTGAAAATTAGTTTCGAATAATCATATTGATTCGATGGATAAAACCCATGACTGGCGAGTGTTAGTGCAGGATCATCCGTTGGATGTGTTTGCCGAGCAATTTATACCTGTTCAGAACTTTCTGAGCAATAACCAATTAATATTCACTAACGTGTTGAAGAAAATCACTTCACTAAATATTCAAATTGGCGAAAATATAAAAAGACCCTTACGATTGACTGGAATGAAAAACTCAGCAAGGTTCGCGAATACCTAAATAGCGATGGCTTATTAGGTTCTGAGTCCGAGAAATGTGTGAAATGGAAATTTCTGATACACGACAAAGAGTATGTGACAGATGAATCGCAAGTGACCATTGTGCAATATATGGCAAACAGCAAAAGTTCAACTCGAACTGGCCGACGAGTACTCAGGAGACAGTTGTGAAGACCTTCACGTGTACGCAGGTCTAGAAAGTTTATTTTTACCAAAAATTTCACTGGCCATCAATCTCTTCGACTTTCATTCAATGCTTTCCGGTGCAGGAACCTGCCACGGAAAAAAACCACAATTTCTTAAAGGGTGATTGGCTTGCACTCAAAAAAACGGTAAATCTGGAAGATTTAAAATTGTCCAATCCGGATCTACAAATCTCTCCAGATTTAATATTCTCGGAAGGGGAGGAAAGGTTTTCTACCATCAGAAATGCGTACTTTAAATCGCGCAACGGTAGATATGGCCTAGAGTATGTGAGCAAATTTAGAAAACGAAACATTATCGGCGAAGTTGTGGACCAATACAGTCGAATTTTTTTCACCAATAGTATCCTTGCGGGTTGAGAAAAATACGTATTGTCCAGATAACTGCAACAAAGGTGTCACTTTTGACCCAGTCATGCTGGATAATGTACATTCCACAAGCACTGCTGTTGCATTGGCATCAAAAGTAGTAATATGCCAAAAAGGAACGCCTATGCGGTTCACAATAGACACCGAACCCAAGACGCCTTTCTGGATAATAGTTAAAAACGAAGTATCTAATGAAGTTTATGTCAATACTCGCGGAGATCACGGTAAACAAAGTTATTGGGCAAAAGGAAACAATAACATTGTCGCGGATTCACACGTGATTTATAGAGAAGAGGATTTGTTGAAACCCAGTTACATGCCCACCTTTGTTGTTGAAGTTTACGAACTCCTAAAGCCCAGCGAAAGACGACGACGCGATGTAGGAGACATACTTACCGTGCCAGATGGGTCAACTAATCCTGGAAAGTTGACAGCAGAGGGCGCCGCATTCACGGGGCCTGGAACAGACGCTGGATATGAGAAGGGCAATTTAATTACGGAGGTTCATTTTATGTTACTGACCTTCAAAGATGAAGCAACTGCTCAAGAAATATTGGGACGTGGTTTCAGCAGACTTCAAAACAAATTAGTTATGAAATTGTAATGTTCCAAGTTGAAATTAATAATTATAACATATTGAAAATCAAAGCTTTTTTTCTGTATTGATTTGACTGGAGTGCTACCTTTAATTCTTGAATTGAATTCTTGAATTCTTGAATCGAATTTTAACATACATGTTCATGTACATGTAAGTACTATATATGTAAGTTCGCTGATAGAAATTTTTGCAAACGAAATTGAATTTCATAGCAATTAAAATATAATAATATCATATTCGAATACAAATCTTTATGCACAGCCATTTGGTGGTTAACGCTTATTTTGTATAACGATTTATTATACTTATGTGGCAATCACGAAATTCTATCGTGCCGATCATGAAATTCCCACACACACAAATTTTTTTGTCGTAATCAGCGAAACCAATACAGAGAAAATCTAATCACCAGTAACATCCGTATGACCAGAGAGCACTGTGTCACAGGAAGCCTAATGTCTATGTACATCCTGTTTTTTCGATAAGGAATATGTCTGTCGCAGACAGTTAAAACGTGCTTGGAAGCAAATATTATAATTCGGGCTTTCTAATAACTAAGAATTAGATTAAATGTCCGCACAGCAACAAAGAAAACATTTTTACCGCTAACTTCGGAGGATTTTGTTCTAACAAAAATTTGTAAAAAGTAAAAAGTCGTGTCGGATATTCATTGAAATATCAGATATATCACAATGCTTTCTTACAACAAAATAAATGATATTAAACAGTAGGAAAGAAATAATTAAGAACAAATTTTACAATTACCAAACAAACAATCGATGAATAAAATTTTAACATTAAATACATTTTTTCATTTCCGACAAGCACCCTATGTAAATATGAATTTATGTGACATTTTACTGTCTATAAATGAAAATTATGAATATTACTCTAAGAACGTACATTAAATTCATTACAAAGACGATAAATTGGTAAACATGGTTGGATATATTCATAAAAAATTACATGCGCTTTCTGAAACTGCAGATTTGATTGTGATGTACTTATACATACATATGTTTTTCTCGGATCGTTATGCACGAAAAAAAAAATCCAAAATACCATATGTATGTATGCATGCAAATGTGCACAAAAAATAGCAAAATATGCTCAAGAATATTATATTCGAAAAATTTGGTCCTGGTTTCGGTTTAAGATCCGATATTTACGATTGGCTTCCCTGATCGGCTTTTTTCTTCCTTTTATCTTTGGCAGCTTTGTGTTTCAATGATGCAATATGCTGTTTTTCTTGGAATAGTTTTTTCCTTGAACTGCACTTTCACAATCACTGAACCATCAGACCGAAATACTTTTGGGAAATCCGGTTTTCATAGGCAATATAAATTTACCGTGCGTTTATTTTCTAATCATTCCGACCAATTTTGAAACAACTGATAACTTTGAATACCATGGACGAATAATAATTTAAGAATATAATAAAGCGTTTATTTTTATTAGTCATTGAGAGTACATTGATGAGTCATAAAAAACTGGAAATTCAAATTACAGTAGAATACGCTTATAGCGACTTTCAACAGACCGACGAGTTTTCGTCGTTATACCCGGAAGACGCACTAAGCAAAAAGGATATATGGGACATTCTTTTACAAATCGTACACCGTTTTTTTGCGTCACAATTCCGATTTTTGTCAAAATTTTTTCCAGGTGTAGGAAGCAAAATAAAAAGACACGTGTATCGGTATTTTACTTAAAAATTTTTTTTTACAAAGTTAGTGATTTTTGACAATATCAATGGTTTTCTCTATCCTTGAACACGTTAAATCAATTATCTCTTGTTCTATTAATCGTATCGTTACAATTTTTTTTTATTATTTTATTAGAGTGGGGTCTTCATCAGATCAAGAGAAATTAAATAATTTTCGACTCTTCGCGCAGCGCGCTCCACATGCTGCCGCAGCGCGATCAATGTTATTTTATATCTTATTACCTAATAGAGACCCCACTCTAAATCCAAGTGTTTTTCTTAGGAATGACGTATAGAATTAAATTGTAATTTTCCTAATTATAAATGTTGTGGGGATCAGCTTTGAAACCATTAAATTGTTTATAATTTTTTTTTTCTGAACAAATAAAAAAATTGTAAGTAAAAAACTTGAAAGGCAACATTAATACCTATTGAATAAAAAAAAATTTTTATTATGTGACTACTGGAAGCGGAGATAATATATTTAATATATAGAAAAAATAAATAAAAAACTATTTTTTTTGAGTAAAATCCTTTTACACGTGTCAAATAAAATCTTCCATAGAAGCTATAAAAAATTTTTCATTCAATTCTGAGATATGAAAAAAAATTTTTCTCGAATCCGTACGGTTTGTAAAAGAATGTCCCACATATAAGACATTTTTATACCCTTGCAGAGCAAAAGGGTATTATAATTTCAGTCAGAAGTTTGCAACGCAGTGAAGGAGACACCTCAGACCCAATAAAGTATATATATTCTTGATCAGCATCACCATCTGAATCCAAATCCGTCTGTACGTCTGCCCGTCTGTCTG